CCTGCCTCTAGGACACACCCCTGTTTCTTTCTCACCACCACACCTTCATACGAAAGAGGAGGAGGTTGGCTTGTGTTGCTGCAGGAGTGCCCGCATATGTGCCATCACCAAAGAGCAGGTGGTGTGTGGTAACTTAACGTAGTGGGCTGAGAGGAGGATAGATTCGGTACAAACCCCAACACTTCTTTCAGTCCTTTCAACTGTTCACACCAAAGGCTGGCAAATCTTGAAATGCCTGAAGAGAAGTGACAAGCATTAATGTAAAGCTGTGTCAAAGCAAAACAATGTTTTAATAGCTGATTTTTTTTTGGCAGATCTTTGAGTGTATGACATAACTTGTTCTTACTGTCTTTGTTATGAGTTTGTCAGCATTTTTGCTATATAACCCCCTTTGTGATCAGTGTGTGTCTACAGTAGATTAGCAGAACTGCTGAAACTTGGCTTGACATTGTGATCCAGACAGTTGTTATTCTAAAGGAAAATAAAATAGTTGTGTCTTGAAAGCAAAAGAAAAATACAGGATTGTGAACAACATAAGCAACCTTTTTAAGGGAAGAAAACTAGAAGTGTGTAGTGTTACTTTTTAGCAGAATAGTTAGCGGAGCTGCTGTGGAGCTGCTTTGGCTATCAACTTTTTTTTTTCCCATGTTTTAGTATGAATTTTGCATTGCAGTGGTCATTTTATGCAGAATGTGTAAAAATGTTTTCCAAGCCCACATGTGGGTGGATGATATAGCTGTTACTTAAGAGAGCTTATAGGAGTGAACTGAAGACCTGTATAGTGGACTTGTTCTGTGTGAAGCCACTCTGAACTCCTTTGGAGAAGTTGTAGTCCTATTTTGGGGACTTTAGTAAGAAAAAGCTAGGAAGTTAGGTTCAAGAGAATTGTATGGCAGCTTGGACAAAGGCTTCCTCAGTGCGTTTATGCTGTGCTATGCATGCCATGTTCTTCAGAGTCTCATTTAAAAACTAACTGTTTGCAATGTTTTTTCATTATTTTTTACGGAGCTGACCCACAAGCAAACTATTGCTGAAGAAGTATGTTTGCACTACTGAGAATGTTCTTGCCAATACCACTGAAGCTCATAAAAGCATGTGAACAAACCAACCAACCCTCAACTATATTGACTCTGCTGTAGAAGAGGGGAAAAAAAATCCAGTCAGCCAGCAGTAAGGCAATCCATAGGAATTGTTAAAAAATGTTACGTCTTTAATTTAAAATCTCAAAATGGAGATTATATCCAATTGTAGTTTGCAGTTGTGTGTAACCAGTTATTTCAAAAGATGCACTTGTATACCCTATCATATGGATTTTTTTGTTATAATTCAGAAAATTATTTGTACAAGTTAAACGAGTTTGAATTCTTTCATAGCACGTTAAAATTCGAGTTGGTGGCGCAAAGCTAATTTTGTTGTTTTTAATGTACTTTGTAAGAAGTTGGTTACTTTTAATTGCACATGGTGGGATACACTTGATCTCTTGATGAATGCGTGCCTTGCCTGTATCTGATGGTAAATTGTTTTAGTGCCAATCACTTTGTTTAAACTGAAACACAACAATTGCAGTCCTGTAAGAGGGAGGATTTGCCAGATTTGTGCTTTTTTTTCTATCAAACTGGAAATTGAGAATGCTGATAACAATTTAGTGGGACTGAAGCACAGTCCCATGGACAGCAAGATGTCCCCAAGCACCAGTGAGCTCTTGTGGCTTTGTGAGGCACCGACTACTGCTCTTGCTGTCCTGGAACCGTTTCTTCCCTCGATGGCAGAGCTTTCCTGTTCCCAGCCTCACAGTAACCGCCTTGTGCTGTAGTCACAGAGTAGCTCAATGCTGTCTTTGGCAGCTGTGTCACAGGTCGTTGGCTTTTGGCTTAGAGAACTGAACCGGAAGCATATTTGAAAGCAATACTTAACATATACCAGAGGTAGTCAAAACAATGCTCGTGGTCTTTCATTGCAAATGGGGAAAAAAGTACATTTAGAGGACAGCTTTTTCTGTCAGTACCCCAGAACTGACCTTACCAGAGAATCTGTGAACCTCAAGACTCAAGGTAAAATGAGGGCAGGGAGTACTGGACTAACTTTGTAAGCATATGTTTAAGAGTATGTACAGGCTTGACATAATTTCCAAAGGTTAGACATGTATTCTCTGTTGTATTGACGATACTGACATTTTACTAGTACCATACAGCCTGTGTACACATGGAATGCTGAATTTAGTATTGGCAGTAGCTTTCCAAACTTTGTCAGAAAAAGACCGTTATTTGATGTTGGATTTTCTGGGTACTGCCATCAACTCGGAAGCACAAATTCTTACTGAGGGTGGGTGGATATAATGTAAGGTGGTGTAGACACTATTGCCTGTAAAAGATGTGTTGCTGTCTGCTAATTTTTTGACATGGCCACAGTGTTTCAGTTGTTGCTTTGTTTTTGATTTTTGGTTTTTTTAAGAAAAGGAAAAAAAAAAAAGGCTATGGTTACATTTTAACCCTTTGTTCTATCCAGTTGTCAAAATTTTAACCTGAAACTTCTCACTTGCAACTTGAAATCCCACATTACGGACTTTTCTTGCAGTGGTCTTTGTCAGATGCCCTGAAGAATTTGCAGTGATCCCCTAACAATGTCTAATTTGTAATAGTGTCAGTCTGGCAAGTGGATTTTAGATTAATGTAAACATAAAAGCAGCAGTCCTTTAGCCGCCTTTGCTGAACTGTTGATTTATTGTTGATCTATTGAAGAAAATAAAGTATTTTTGGACACACTTTCTAGGGGCATAGTAGACTTATTGCTTGTCTGATTGACAAAAACCATGCTTTTAGGACTTTCCTTATAATAGAAAACTTAGAGATATACATACTATGCTTTATCAAAGACCTCTCTTAAATCACCTATGTATTCTCTCTCTCCAATACTTGAAGAACAACTTTGTGAGAAAAGGCAGTAGTATTTTAGCAGAAGCCATGAGTTAATTTTTTTTTTTGTCAACTTAACCTGGAGGATACCAGTGACAAAATTGATCTTCACACTTCTAGAATCAGTGTGATAGAAATGTAAAGAACTGTTACTTGCCCTTTCCTTCTTTTGCTGAAATTAGTAATTTTCCTAATGCAGTATTTAACCAAATTATTCAAGAAAATGCCTATCAAAAAGTCTGTGAACTCTGCATTTTGCAAAATTTGAATTTGGTACAATTCTGCAGTTGCCTAGCATAAAACTTTAGCTTTCCATTTTGTTGCATGTGTACTTTTAGTGTAATTCTTACTTCTTACCCTGGAACAATTCATGTCGTTAGGAACACCGTTCTAACAAAACTTGTGTTGCATAAAAGCAAAAAGTAATATTCACCTGCTTTTAAAAAAAAAAAAAAAGCTATCACACCCAAATAAGTTTTCTAATTTTAGTATAAGGTTTCACAAAAGGAATACCAGTAATAAAATATAACGGAAGTGGTGAGTTTAGATAGTAAAACTATGTAAAGGTACCTTTTGTTGAAGAATTAAATTAGTGTCCTTCCTTAATCATAAAGTCATTCAAATGAAACTAATAGGGCAGTTAACATGAGTAAGTTCAGAGGACAGATCTTAAACTGCTAAATATGCGTATGATTGGTTTTAAATTTGTATTCATAAAAGTTCTAACACTAACATTAAAAGGACTAAATAAACTGAGCTAATGCAGCACCCCGACTTTGAATTGAAATTTTGCAATATGCAAAGCACTTAAGGAAACTTGCTATTTTTGGTAGGAAGTTAGACATTTCTATACATCCTATACATATCCCTATAACTGTATATAAAAAGTAGTCAGCGTGTGGCTTTAGCCATAACTGCTAATGAAAAGAATGGTTGGAAGGATTGGAAAGAAGTTAGGCCTATTAATTTATGAATAGTGGTAAGAGGAACTAGCTGATAACTGGTTTCCTCCACCAGCTGAAAGAATTGTGGTTAATTATACAGGCAGTATTGTGCATGTAGTATTTAGCAGAGTATTTGGAAACCTCAGTCTTTTGGACATTTTGTAATTTATAGTTCCCAACAGAGAAGATGATCCAATTGTCAGCTGGGAGATTGAGTTCTTGATATGAAATGTACAACTTGTGTATTAAAGTACTTCTCAGAAATAAATGCTTTTTTGCATATTTGTTAGTGTATTCCATGTGTCTGCCATGTATGCTTCTTGCAGTATTACTTGGCATCCTCTGTATTTAGAGTAATACTCGCTTCTAAGTCATATGGCGCAACCTGTGTGTAAATGTGCTTGTGAGTGTCCGATCTCCAGCCTTTTAAAGTGGTAGTACTGTCTGTACAGATTTACAAGGTATGGTGATTTGATGTTAGGATACTGTCTCTTCAGTTAAACCAAGATCTATGCATTTTTACCGAAGATACGAATAGTCAGATTTTATTCCATGCTAAATTGGATTATAGTGTTGAGTTATAGATGGAATTAGAATTTCTACTACAGAATGACAAATGACAGTCTATTCACTATCTATATATTGAAACATATAAAAATGCAGCCATATAATGAAGCTGATCTAGTGTCTTATCACTAATTTTTTTGCTAGTTGCAAACTTTGATCTTGTACTTACACAAACCCAACAGTCTTTTTGTGTGTGTGAAGCAGAATAGTTTTCACTAGTTACAGAAGAACTACCTGTTTGATGATGTGAATTTAAATTTAGTGGTAGGAGAGCTTACAGTCAGTTTAGAAATGAGTGAAGGAACAAGTTTTTATCAAAAAGTCACCTACACCAGTATCCCAGCCTGGCAACTTGGCTGTGCTGGCAGCAGAGTGCTTAGGAGAAAGCAGGAAAGTGCTTTTCCCATTCCCTCCGTCAGTTCAGAAACTTGAGTGCTGGATACACACAGTCTTGCTGCAGACATCTCTTTCCCATAATGGGTTAAAGACTCATCCAGTACCACAACTTTCTCAAGACAGTATTCCTATCTTCCATTGCATTCTCTGAAGTAAAAGTAGAAAACTCACAAATAACAGGTACACTCAACATATTGATCTTATTGTTACAGACAGATGCTTGTAAACAGCTTACTCAATTTTATTATTTGCTCAATAAGAATTTTAAGCCAAAACATAAGGTTTGAATTAAGTCTGGAGGCCTAGCAATACTCAGAGTACAGTACAGATGAATTGATAGTTTACCTTTGGTTGTTACTGCTTGACTTCCTAGAAAGTGAATCTACTGCTTTGTTCCATAATAAAACTAGAGTAGTTACAGGTACAGTTGCAAGCTATGGCTGTAGCTACGGTACTTGTTTCTTGAGCTGAAGTTGAGTATAGGCAGGTTCTGGCAAACAGCATGCCTTGTAACTTGCTCCAGAGTTAGCTTCAGCTGTTGGGCACTGATAGGTTTTGCAGGCACATATAACTTGTAAGGAGGCAGTGGCTAGCTTCTTATTCCTTAGGAGATACTTCTGTAGTTGTCAGATATATTTCTGAAGAAAGAAACAGAGTTTAAGTCTTACTGTGTAATTAGGAACTACTGTACAGGTAATTCTATATGCACTAATAGGTTGTAACTGAAACTAATGCAGAAATACTTGTCCTATAGCAGTAATGTAATACTAAGCTTTACCAAAGATAGACCACTTTCTCCCTTGTCCACTGTGCCAGTTGCTGGATTCGTATTTCCCAGATCTCAGTAGTCTCATACCTTTGATCCCATCTCTGGTCTGCTCAGTAACTTGCTTGCTTCTTCCAGTACATGTTGCTGCTTTCTAACCTTTGCCTGTTTTTTCTTTACATAGAACAGGAGTCAGACCAGGTGCTACTCATTTGAGGGGGCAATTACTATTATGTTAACAGAGATACAATGTTGAATTTTATTGGACCTGCAGTTCTGATGTTCAAGCTCTTCAGCACCTAACAGAATTGTGCATTTCTCTGGAAAATGTATTGGAGATGAGGAAACCCACAGAAAAAGAAAGTGCCATGCTGGTTTATGCAAGATAGTACCAACCAGCTATGAACTATGGTTTAAGACTGCTTTCTAGAGATTGGTTTAACAGATTAGAGGGCAGGTTTGAATCATTTATGTATCCACTTAGGTATCTAGTTCTTAATGCCAAAGGCATTAAGAACTAGATACCTAAGTGGATACATAAATGCATTAAGAGCAGCTTAGATTGTAGTGGTGGCAGTGCAGGAGTGTAAAGGGAATGACTACACACATTACAAGCACAACTTCATTTATTTTAAACAGAAAGGAATTAATTTAAGATAATTCCACAGATGACATCTCCTATGTTCTTGTCACACCTCTAGCCTTCATTTCAACTCCCTCTGAAGTCTTAGCCTTCAGAGATGAGGTGGGTTTTTTGTGTTGGGGTTGTTTGGGGTTTTTTTTGAGCTATTTATAAGTAGTGAATTTTCCTTCTCCCAAAGATGCACTGCCAGAACAAGAAGGAAGATTACAGACTAGTTATAGCACTCTTCCCTTCAAGAGATACCAGAAAGGTGTAAATTAATAACAGGCATCTGAAAGAATTTAACTATTAGAACAAATTATTTGACCGAACGCAACCGGTGAGCTTTGAAAAAAATTTTTTCTTTTCTTTTTCAGGAGCAGAGCCAGTCTGTATTGGGACATGAAAATGTCCATCCTTAATAGTCCCATGGTGCCAACTCTTCTGTTCATGAGTAGTTTAGGCATCCTCTTCAAGATTCCTCAGAGCTGAGCAGTAGGAAAGACTGTAATGTTAAAAGAACTTGAACAGAACTAGTAACTCCAACGTGGAACACTACCTAACAGTGAAGAGCTGCACAGTGAGTTAACTCAAATTCCCTTAGGATATGAGGCATTTTAGAAAGCTTCTCTCTTCCATTTCATAGGTAAGAGTTGTATTAGATCCATGACAACAGTACTGTCTTACATGGCTACCATAGCCATGCAGGTACCAGCTGTGTTACTGCTGGGAGAATACCATGTTAAACCCTGGAAACCCACATGTTCAAACTTAAGTTGCTGCTCTACTTCCAGAGTTGGGTGACAGGTTTGGAAAAAATGCAGTTTGATTTAAGGTCTCTGTTTCAGTCCCTCTGAGGGTTGCCTTGCATTTCTAAGGTCTTGGCCACCTAATAAGGCTGATACTTACTATGTTTCTCATCTGCTACAACCTCCTGAAGTAGCACACCATCTGAGTGGGTGCTTTGTTGAGCAAAACCAAAGCAATTAAAAAAAGTAATTAAAGTTTACTAGTCAAATTATTTCTCAAAGCATATTCTGATTTGCTAGCTATTTAATTAAAACTTCAGCTAATAACTAATACAAGTAGTGATGCTAGGCATTAGATTAGAGGTACCTCTCAATTAGCAGATTCTTCCAGGTCAGCAATTTCCTTTCTTATCAGCTGCAGTTGATATCCCTGTATTTTGTTGCCATCTTTAAATGTTAGTTGAAAAGGATCTCCGGTGGTCAGCTAGACCAACCTCCTGCCTTGCATGGGACATCTTTAAAGCCTTCATCAGTGGTGATTCTACCACCTCTGGCCATTCTGATCCAGTGTCATCACACTGTGCTCCTGGTGAAGCAGGTTCTCCTGACTACTCAGCCTGATGTCCCATGTCACAATTTGTTATATCCATCACCTCACTCTGCTGAGAAGAGTTTGGCTCTGCTGTATTTGTAACTACCCTTCAAGCAGTTGTAGGCTGTTAGTTAGATCACTTCTTAGTCTCCTTATTGCCAGACTGAATGAGCCCAGCTTTCTCTGTTTATTTCTCATCTCAGTCTGTTGAATACCTTTCATCTGCTTCTACTTGCACAAGGAGCTGTTCTCTTTGCCTATTCCCTGTCTTCCTGTTTTCCTCAACATATCATGAACATCAAACTGATTTTAGCCTTCTGTATTATTCCTGCAAGCAGCCTTCTATTCTTGCCTTTCATGTAGGACAACTGTAAAAGACAATTAGATGTTACAAGAATGCTTTGTCACTGAAAATTTTAGTGCCTCAAGTATTTCTGCATGTTCTTAAAACACTTGAGTGTTGGTTTTTTTTTTTTGCCTAGTTTTATAGAGGATTACTCACTAGGGTTAGTCATTTAAAGCAAGCACACAAAGCATGCGCGTCTCAGTCAATGGAATAAAGTGACATCATGAGTCATGGTAGATTTTTTTCATGCTGAATTTGGGTAACTAAATCTGTATTTAGCCAATGTGCTTTAAAGTTACACAGGATTCCTACTTCACTCTAGGTGTACTGAAAGGAAGAATTGTTTTCTGGTACTTGAGTTTGGTATTTCTGTAGATGTTCAAAGTAAAAGGGGTATAAGCCCCATGGAAGCAGGCTGTAGACTTCAAATGCAGACATACATAATCTGCAGAACAGGGTGTTTATTGAAGTTGAGTAGGAAATGAGGCTGCAATCCACCTTGCTTCTTGCTGCTGTGGAGGTAGACTAAAACCGATTTAACTCACCAATTGCATGGTAGTGAGCATGTGTAAATATGCACTTAGGGATGCATTTGGAGCATTATCAAGCTCTGCAGATTTTAGCACCACTTCTGCTGTAGTCAATGCTTCTTCTCAAGGCTCCAGCTTCTGCGATCAAAAGGCTTTAATAAAAGTTTCCATTCTTTCTGCTTGCTGAAAAAAGCTTGAAGTAGTAAAAGGAGCACTGGCTCAGAGAGAAGGGAAATAAATTTTTCATTAGCGAACTAAGAAAAAACATATTTAGAGACAATGTCACAAGTTAATTACCATGTCTCTCTTTTTAAAATATACTTTCCAAAATCAATTACTTCAAGATAATTGGAGAGAACTCTGTGTGACTTGTAGTTGATAGTGCAGCAACGTTAGCATTTTAGTTTAGGTCAGAAGTGAGATTTTGAAACAAGTCTCTTGATTGTTCCTACTTACTGTGTTTTGGTTCACATTACACAGCGATCACAAACTGGACCCTTCTGGATGAAACAAACAGGAAGATGTGCTCCAACCAGTGATGGGCATTCAGCCCTGACACCAGGCTACAGCTATTCTGGGCAAAACCTCTGAAAACAGATGCATCGTGGGTGTCAAGTTCTCAGCAGCAACTTCCTCACTCCACAAACGAGGCCCTTATGGGCCACGCTAACTGACATGGGTACAGAGAGTCAGTCAGCTCCACCGAGCCATGTCCTGCTGTCCAAAACCAGCGCAGCAGCCCAGACCACAGCAGGACTGACCAACCAGGAGAATACCTGGGTCTGTGCAGGGCTTTAAGGGGCACGCAAGCTGTAACACTCCTACACAATGCCAAGTGTTTGCTCAGTCCCTGAGCAAGCTGGGGGCTTGTGTACATTTGGCAGGAGGAACATGGATGTTGTTACATCAGCCATCCTTCCCCATCTCCCCCCAGTTTTGTTTTTTTTTGTTTTTTTTTTTTTTTTGATACCATACATATATACTATGCCACTCTTGCAGTTGTCCTAGTTAGAAAGGCCACATCTTGTTCCCTCCTTGGATGCTTGGAGAAGAGAATAAAAGTTATATCCAGTAATGGCACTGATTCAGTTACTCACTGTCTTTATCGCCGAAATACTTGATCCTTACGAAAAGCAGTTTCTCTCCGAGCATCGTAGTCCAAATCCGCTTGCTTTTCCTGCTGTTTTTTTGCCTGCTTTTCAGCCTGATGAAGAAAAGGGATGTTAGTTGATACTTGTCAAATATAAACTCGGGGAAGTTAGCCAGGGGGTGGGGACCGCTGTTCGAGAACTGGCTGGGCATTGGTCAGCGGGTGGTGAGCAATTGCATTGTGCATCACTTGCTTTGTATATTTTTATCGTTATTATTTTCCCTTCCTTCTCTGTCCTATTAAACTGTCTTTATCTCAACCCACCGGATTTTACTTTTTTCCTCCAATTCTCTCCCCCATCCCACTGCTGGGGGTGGGGAGTGAGTGAACAGCTGTGTGGTGTTTAGCTGCCTGCTGGGTTAAACCACAACACATCCCTTCCCGCTTCTCTCCCCTGCCATACCCCCCCCAAAAAGGGTATGTTGAATAGCTGAGTGAACATCAGCGTTAGCTGCTGCTCTTTGGTGACCTGACCCCAGAAGACAAGAGAGGAGTAGTGGCATGGTTCAAAAAAATGGCATAATGATACAGGACAGGATGTGATCTGTCATTGTTTATCTCTTTCTTATTACCAGCCCTCCCAAGTAATCCTCCCCAACCAAGTCAGCCTGGAAGAGGCTTCTGTTCCACCGCTCTGAGAGGAGGCTGGTCCCCAACATCAGCACCTGTGGTGCACACAGGTAAAAAACAAACAAAATGCACACATCACACCCACAGCAAGCTTCCTCTTTCTCTCCCACCCAGGAGATCTAGTACTATGGGTTTAGATATGTGCTTCTTTCTGAGGGGGCTGACAGGGTACAGCTCTTCTATTTACCATTTGCTGGATCTGAATTTTCTGTACTTCCATGCTTGCATCATGTTGTTTTTGTTTCTTGGCTTTTTCCATTTCCAAGTAGATACGATCTGCTGTCATCCACTGATTATGATCCTTCTCATCCTCTGCTTTTTCCTCTCTCTCCTTTTCCTCTTTCATCTTCATCTGTGTTTTACAAAATACACAATTAAAGTTAACCAAGGAGCTAGCCTGCTATCTTTCGGCAGAAGCAGCCCTGTATCTGTGTTCTGATAAGCACGGTCATTGTGGCTGGCCAGTGTCCAAGCCCAGGGTTTTTAGCAGCCCTGGCAGATGTGTGCCCAACACAGAAGTGGGAGAGGGAGAGAAGACACCAGGAAAGGTGTCAGCGGATCTGATGAAGCATGCTGATGCATGGCACCAGAGCCACCAGCTGTGATCTCAGCCAGGCTCCTCAGTTGGAGCAACCAGTGGAGAGTCTGGAAAATGCACAAATTACTAACAATTATAGAGCCTTCCAACTCTAATTTTTTGAGAGAGGATCATCACATGTACCGGTTGCACATTTAAGGGGTTAGTTTTGGAACTACAGATGGTAAATATGAGAGGTAGCTGCTAAGTGAGAACTTGCATGTGCGTCTCACTCAAGACGACTGTGCTAGAATCTATGGTGTTTCAAAAAGGTATTCAGAAGTACAAGCATATGACAGAGGAGTAAGAACAGACTAGGTTTAGGCTTACCACAGTGGCTCTGTGTTCAGCAATAGATTCAACGGCACTCTTTTTTTTTTCTTCTGTCTCTTTGGTTTTCTTTTGGTATTCGTCTTCTACCTCTGCAGCTCCTCTAGCAAGACGATCATCTTCAATCTTACATGCCCTATTCATCTGTGCAGTTAGTTGTTCAACAGCTTTGTCGTTGCGCTCCTGCATTAGCCTGCAGGAGAACATGAGCTACCATAACATACCAGGATATCTGCTCAGATTACCTGAGGTGCTGCTCCTAACAAAGCCAGCAATCCCACTTCCACCCCCAACAGCACCAATTACTACTGGAACTGGTAGGCATTTCTTCCAGACTTTCTACTTCTCTCAAGTTTTAATTACAGAAAAATTGCTTGCATCACAAAGTTCTGATTTTGCTGATATAAAAATTCAGAGTAACATTTGTCACAAAATTAAATTGCAAGTTTGAATCTTAATGCTGAAAACTGTAGCCCTAGACCCACCTATTAGTCTCTGCATCTTTTTCTCTTGTCAGATCAGCCATCATTTCTTTTCCTTTAATATAAGCCTTAATCCGATCATCATCTTTGTCTTCTTTTTCTTTCTCTTCAGCTTTAATTACTTTCTGTTGAGCTACATACTCCTGTTTAAACAGAAAAGTACTTTTATTTCTATGCAGAATGAGATTTTGGAAACGTGAACTGAAAAAAAAAAATCTAGCAAAGACTTCAGGCCTAGCCTACAATAAGAGTTCTTTAGTTGTATCAGTAGAGAAGCTATAGAAGATAGCAACTCAGAGATGGAAGAGAATTCTCACAACCTACTTACCACAAACTACCACAAAAGTAAAATTAGTATGTGGTTGCAGCCCCAAGGACAGTATCTTTAAGTTATATTCTTTCCTCTACTTCCCCACTGGCTCCAACTGTACCGCTCCCATCCTGTGTATCATTCACACAGCACAGACTCTGAAGGGCTCAAATAGTAAGAGGCTGTAGAACCATAAAAATGTAAGGCGCAAGGCATTTTGTAATCGTGCAGAAATGGCAGTTTGAGTATATATAGCTTTTATTGCATATACAAGGTTGGGGGCAAATGGGGTAAAATTTGTATAATTTAGGTGACGAGTATGGGGGGGAAAAAAGCAAGTAGGGTTTCAGTGGGAATTCTCTCCTCTTACTCTCTCACATGCCAATGAATCATCACAGTACCTCCACTTCAGTCTCCCTGCTCAAGCAGGCAGGGGGAAGGAAACAGTAGGTGTGATAAATACATCTTAACTAATTTTCTAATCATCTCCAATCATAAAGGGAAAGGCAAGTTAAAAAGATAGTCATGTTCAGACTCAGGCTATTCCCTCTTCCTAACAAAGGGAAATGGGCTTAAAACAGAGCAGGTATGTGGAACCTAAATCCAGTTCTCAAGTGAAGGACAATCTCCTTGCTGTCTATATCAGACTTTTTCCATCATAGACCAGTCAAAGCTCAGATACCACATTACAGCTTCCAACAGGCCTTTCTCAAAAGCATGGAGGAAAAGACATAGCCTGCAACTGGCAGAGTAGGCATATGATCCAACGCTCCTGAAGCTGTCAGCAAACCTCCTGTTGCCAGTAGGCCCATTATTTGTGGGCCTAATACAACTCCAGGCAGCCAAGATGAAACAAGCATTTTGAACTCTCTGCTTTCCCGTTACTTACGTGATACAGCCTCTGGCGTTCAACTTTTTCCTCCTGTTCCTTTTCTTTTCCTCTCTGAATTTCCAGTTGGTACAATTGGTTCAATCTCTGTATTTGTTCCCCATCTCTTTTGTCTTCTAGCTTGGCCAGATCTGCCTGATGCTTGTGCTCCTTTATTCTGAATCAGGAAAAGGAGTTGAATAAATGGGCTAGGGATCGCATGAAGTAATGAACAGATAGGGATTCTGCACATCTACAGATACTTTAACAGTAAAAAACCCAATACTTTGAAGTGAAAGTAGAATGTCAGAGATCAAAAACAGAACCAGTTTTTAAAAGGTAGCTGCAAACCCTTTGGCCAAAGCTCAGTCCTAGTGCAAGGGTGCTGGTTAAGCCTATACTAGCAAAAGCAAACATGACCAGCATATGGACTCGAGTATTAGACTGAATTTGATTAGCCTGTTTAATTGTTAGCCCACTCCCTGTACAAGCTGGGCCTTTGCCAGCTAGCTGTCTTCCAAGAAGTGCCACGGCACTGTGCAAGACACAGCCATGGTCATCAGCCTGTGCTAGCTGGATGCATGAATGATTCTGGGCTGGGGGAAGCAGCAATAGTAAGAGTTTTGCCTTAGGGAGACAAGCCACTTTCTCTCAGTGCCAGAATATAGACCATCTTTAATTTATTAGGATAGGCACAGCCACTGGCAACAAGAGACATTTCTGAAGCTGGAGAACAGAATCACGGAGGAAACGGAGGGTGAGGAGAGGTGACAGGTTTTCGGCCTGACTGCTGAGTGAGGAAGATCAGAAACAACGATTTAAATGAGCTGAGTCACGCAGCCCCAGACATGGCACCCCAGCGGGCGCGCTGCTCCCGCCGCGAGAGGCCCGCCAAGGCCAGGGCGGAGGCCTGCTCCGCCAGAGAGGGGTCGCCTCAGCTAGGTTAGCCCCAAATAACCCCCCCTCCTGTCTTGCGTGCCCGGCGCGCCACCTCACTGGCAGCGCAGACGGGTCCTGACAGCAGGGAGCTGGCCACGAGAAGATTTTTTTTAACCCAAACCCCACTCCCCTCCCAACTCCTGAAGGCTCCGCCGCCGCCCGGCGAACCCCGCCGGACTCACTGCGCCAGCTGCCCCCG